GCCCCCAGGGGCCTCCTTTGGGGGGCTCCCAGGGGCCCCCTAGCGGGGCTTTGGGGGCTCCAGCGGGTCTTGGGGGGCCCCTAGGGGGCCCCCCTGGGGGGCCCTCTGGGGGGCCCCCCGTGCCCCAGAAAGTATATTTCAGAGACAAGTTTGGTTCTGTTGCTGCTGCAGTGGTGGACCCTTTAGCTGCTGCAGCAGGAGAGCTGGACCCGCAGCTAGTGGGGGCTTTGCTGCAGCAGGTGCAGCAAAACCCAAAAGCATTTGAAAAAGAAACTCAAAGACACTTCAGGGCCCTTTGGGCCCAAGCAGAAGAACTCGAAAACACCCAGGGGGGCCCCCCAGACCTTTCCCTCATTGGGGGCCCCCCCGGGGACTTCTTGGGGGCACCCCCGGGGGCCCCCCTGGGGGCCCCCCTGGGGGCCCCTCCAGGGGCCCCTGTAGATGCGCAGCGAAGGGCCCCCCCAGGGGGCTCCTTGGGGGCCCCCAGGGGCCCCCCGGACGCCCCGCGCCCTGCTGCTGCTGCTGCTGCTGCTGCTGCAGCTGAGGAGCCGCTGCTGTGGGGCCCCCTGGAGGCGGAGAGGCAGCAAAAAGAAAAGACAAAAAAGAAACTGGAAAAGAACTTTTGGAAAGAAGAAAAAGTTGCTGGAGCTTCAAAAGAAGAAGTGCGAAGCTGGCTGCAGGACCCGCTGCTGCAGCAAGCAGCAAAGTTGCTGCTGCAGCAGGAGGAAGCAGCAGCATTTTTCAGCAAGCTGCAGCACAAGGCGCAGCAGCTTTGGGGCGCAGACATGCTCTTGGGCCAGCAGCCTCCTGCTGCTGCTGCTGCTGCGGCTCCTCCTGCTGCAGATGGTGATGCTGCTGCAGCTTCTGCTGCTGCTGCAGCTGCCGCTGCTTCTGCTGCTGCTTCTCCTTCTGCTGCTGCTCCACAGGCAACTCCAGCTGCGACTGTTGTGGCGTCTCCTCCTGCAGCTCTTGTTGCTGCAGCTCCTCCTGCTGCAGCTCCTCTTGCTACAGCTCCTCGTGCTGCTGCTGCTGCTGCTGCTGCTGCTGCTAGAGCCGCAGAGATGGCAGGAGGAAAAATGGGGGAAGGCGCAACAGAAGATGCAAAAGCAACAGCAGCAAGAAGTAATGCAGCAGCAGCTACAGATGCACCAGCAGCAGCAGCAGCAACAGCAGCAACAGCAACAGCAACAGCAGCAGCAGCAGCAACAGAAGCTAGGGCAAAGGAAAGGATAGAGGAGATAAGGAATGAAAAGCCAAATGAAGAATTAAATAAAACTAAAGAAACAAAAATAGAAAACAATGCAGCAGCTGCCAGCAGCAACGCAGCACCTGCTGCTGCTGGCGCTGCTGCTGCTGCTGCTGCTGCTCCTGTTGTTTCTGTCGCTCCTATGTCGTATAGGAACTGGCTGCTAGGGCCTTCACAGCAGCAGCAGCAGCAGCAGCAACAGCAGGAGCAGCAGCAGCAGCAGCAGCAAACTCGTGTTACCTACTCGCGCGTGGGCTGTGTTGACAGCAAAGAGCCGCTGCTGTCTCCAACAGACAAAATGCTTCCTTATATCCAGTTCTTTCAGCAGCAGCAGCAGCAGCAGCAGCAGCAGCAACAGCAGCAACAGCAGCAGGGGGTCCCTATCCCGGGCTTAGATTTTCCCCAGCTGGGTCATGGGGGCCCCCCAATGGGTACAGGGGGCCCCCAAATGGGTCAAATGGGGGGCCCCCAAGTGGGCACTGGGGGCCCCCAAATGGGTACTGGGGGCCCTCAAATGGGTACAGGGGGCCCCCAAGTGGGTACAGGGGGCTCCCAAATGGGTACAGGGGGCCCCCCTGGTTCGGGAGTTTGGGATATAAGTGAAGAGAAAGTGCTGGAGCTGCTGCCAGCGCCTGAGAGTTTTAGTGAAAAGGCAGAAATAGAAAGTTGGATTGATTCGGGGGGCATTCAACCCGAAACAAACCCTAAACCCTAAACCCTTTTTTAGGGTTTAGGGTTTGCGGCGTTTCCGTGGCCTCTTTTTGATTGAAAGTTTGGTTCCTTAACACCTCCTTTTTCAAATTTTCTTGTCCGCGTTCCAAACTTTTGTTTAGTAACTGCATGAACCAACAAACGCCAAACTAGGGTTTAGGGTTTGGGCTGCTAGGGTTTAGGACTTCACCACACAGAGTCGCCACACAGGCAACGGTTTAGGGTCTTGCCTTTAGCCCCTAGACCGTAAACCCTAAATGCCAAACCCAAAACCCTAAACCCTTGGCGTCTGTCATCAGGCCCTCAATTTAGACCCTAAACCCTAGTTTGGGGTTTTAACACATGCGCTGGGATCAGGTCTAGCAGCCAACGCGAGTTGATCCTTTTATTTGTGAAAAAAATAATTGTATTTATTTATTTATTTATTTTTAAGTTATTTATTATTTATTTATTTATGTATTTGTTTATTTATTTATTTATGTATTTTCATTTTCTTCGCTTACAGTCAAATCATGACAGCGGCTGCAGCGCTGGGGTCACCTGGGAGTTTGTGAGCAAATCTGGGGTACAAATTCTTTCATTTATTTATTTATTTGTTTATAAAGTTATCTATTTTAATTATTTATTTAATTTTGATTTAATTATTTATTTATTTGTGCATTTATTTGTCCATTTTGTTGCATTTTGCTGCTGATAATGTGGCGCTCGAAGTTGGTCTTTGGCTGCCCGCGGCCCTGGAAGCCCCAAACTGCGGAGGAAATAAATCCTTTAATAAACTAAATAATTAAAAAAAAAAATTAAAAATACAAATTAATTTATTTTTTTGCACTTTATACCATTTGTTTTGATCTACGGGGCCCACCGAGTTTACCCTGCTGCTGCAGCTGCTGCAGCTGCTGCTGCTGCTGCTGTGGCTGCAGCAGCAGCAGCTGCTGCTGCTGCTGCTACTGCTGCATTTTTATTATTTAATAATACAATTTGGTTATTCGGATTTTTCTCCATTCGCTTTTCCTCTCAGAGGAGAATCAAAGGAACAAAGAAAACATTAAAACGATTCCATTTAGGGGCATCCCAGGCTTAGGGTTTAGGGCTTAGGGTTTAGGGTTTAGGGTTTAGGGTTTAGGGTTTAGGGTTCAGGGTTTAGGGTTTGGGGTTCAAGATGGAGGCAAAGGCAGCAGAAAAGGAGGCGTCTTCGGCGCTGACAAATGAGCAAGTGAGATTATAAAACAAAAAGTAATACAATAAAAACGAAATTAAATAGATTTAAAATAAATTTAAAATAAATTAAAAATAAAAATAAAAATATCAATCAAGAATGAATTAAAGAAATAATTCAAATTGCTGAAAGAGAACTTAAAACAGCAAATGGTGCTACAGCAGCAGCAGCAGCAGCAGCAGCAGCAGGAGCAGCAGCAGCAGCAGCAGCAACAAACAGCCGAACATATCGATAAATTTTACTTTAATTAATTCACTACTATTTATTTATTTATTTATTTATTTTTTTTTTATTTTTTTATTTATTTATAGAAAGAAAAAATAGAAAGTTTATTTGCGGAGAAGACCGAAATCAGCAACGACGCAGTCACGGCGCTGCTGGTGGATTTGAGGTAAAGACAAAATTAAATTAAAAAATAAAGTATTTATTTATTTATTTATTTATTTGTTTATTTATTTGTTTATTTATTTGTTTATTTATTTGATTAACTAATTAAAAGGGTTTTACGTTATTCGTCACCTTCTGGATATTGAAAAAATTTCGAAAAATGAAAAAAAACACGCTTCAGGGTTTAGGGTTTAGGGCTTAGGGTTTAGGGTTTAGGGTTTAGGGTTTCGAATGGAGGGTTCAGAGTTTAGGGGCTGGGGTTTAGCGTGCATGTTTTAGGGTTTATGGGTCCAGGGTACCGGTCTGGGGTTTGGGGTTTAGTGTTTAGGGTCTAGGGTTTAGGTTCTAGGGTTTAGGGTTTAGGGTTTAGGGTTTGGCAGGGCGAGGAAACATAATTAAAAGATCAAAGTATAGTTGTTTGATTGCAATATGCAAAAATAGGCAAACAAATACAACTATTACTTCAAAATAAAAATATAAATAAATTAAATTTAATTAATTAAAGTTCTAAAAATAAATTGGAATAAAACTGAAAACTGAGAAACGCTTCCGGTTCTGCTCCTTCACGTTTAAAGCTAGGGTTTAGGGTCTAGGGTTTGGGCTCAGCTCTAAGGAAGCGTTTGGGGTCTCTACTGCTCCATGCACGCCTCTTGGAGTAGGGTTTAGGGTTTAGGGCTTAGGGTTTAGGGTCTAGGGTTTAGGGTTTAGGGTTTAGGATTTACAAGCATAAGAAAGCCTCAGTGCAAGAGTGGCTCGCCGGGGAGAGTTCACATTTGCTTCCAGTTTGAAGCAAACCCACTTCAATAGTCCCTAAAAAGGGGTTTAGGGGTTAAACCACAAAAAGGGGTTTTTTTAACCCCAAGGTAGCAGAAAATGCAGAATTAGAGTTTGGCGGAGCAGCAGAAAGCCCCTGTTTCCATCAATTTGAATTTAAATGAATTATTTAATTTAATTTAATTTAATTTGTTTAATTTGTTTGATTATTTAATTTATTAAATTGCTTTATTTCCTTTTTTCAGGAAAGATGTCACTCAAGAAGCAATCGACTCGCTGCTGGATGCGGCGGATGCGGGCGCGGCGGGGAAGCTGGGGAAAGCGGCGGTTTTTGAAATAGCAGAGGCGAGAACGAAAACAAATTAAAATTAAAAACAAAATTTGAAATTAAAAAAAAATTTAATTTAATTAATCGAGAAATTCATGTTTGAAAAGTTGAAATCCACTCGCGCAGCCAGTGAGCCTGGTCGATCCTGCACGAAACCCCGAAAATGGAAACTTCTGAAGGAAGTTTTCGCAGTTTTACCTCCGCAGTTTCTCTTAAAGTGTTTTTAATTTCTTTTAAATGTTTTAATTTAATTTAAATCTTCAAAGAATTGCAAAAAGTCCAATTAGAGGCCGCGGGGTGCCGAAGTGACCGGCCAAAGGCCAGATCGCCGGACCTGAACAACTGGAGCTGAAATGGAATTCAAAAAGGAATTGAATAAACTTTTTGTCGATTTTGATTTATTTCGAATAAATAAATCAAAAAAGAGAAAAGTTTATTCAATTATTCTTTTGAAAACGGAAAATTCGCAAAAAGTTGCACCAAGTGACGCGTGAAACGGCAAAAAGATGAATTGTTTTCATCAACCTGCGAAAAGTCGAAGAAAACTCGAAATTAAGAATTCAAATTCAAAAATAAAACGAAATAAATTCACGATAAAACTAAAATAATAAAAAGAACTTCAAAAATGCAAAAAACGAATAAATTTCAACTGCCGATTTCACCAATTGCAAAAAGATGAAATATTCAAAAGCAAGCAACAAGTTCAAGAAATTCAAATTCAAAAAGAAGACAAAACAATTTGTTGAAATAAATAAATAAATAAATAAATAAATAAATAAATAAATAAATAAATAAATAAATAAATAAATATATAAATAAATAAACAAACAAAATAAATAAATAAATGATTAAAAGAATTTAAAATTGCAGAAATTTCATTAATTTAAAGTAAATTTAAATTCAAATAAATGCCAAAATGAAAAAAAGGAGAAACGAAAATAACGGGGAAAGTGGAAAAATAGAAAATTGCAAAATTGAATTTGAAATTCAAATGGGAATAATAATTTATTAAAATTTAAATATTTAATTCTTTTTTATAAGTAAATATTTAATTAAATAAAATTAAATATCTAATTCATTTTTATAATTAATTATTTAATTTTATTTAAATTAAATATTTAATTCCATTTTAATTGAATGTTTAATTAAATTATTTATTTGTCTTAACGAAGCACCAGTTTAGTTTTTAAAATAACAAGAGAAAATTTGTAAAAATAAAATTCAAATCTTTTTCGCTTTTCATTTTATTTGTTTTTGTTTTTAATTTTATTAATTTTATCTTAATATGATTTATTTCTTTTTATTTTAATTCATTTCTTTTGATTTATTTTTATTTGCATTTTATTCCATTTACTAGCATCTACTCCTATTTATTTCCATTTACATTAATTCATCTTCATTTATCTTTAATTTATTTCAATTTATTTTAATTTATTTCAATTTATTTTAATTTATTTCAATTTATTTTATTTCATTTTTTAATTTAATTTATTTTAATTTATTTTAATTTTATTTTTAAATATTGACGGTAATTAAACTGCATTTTTGTCTAACTCCATTTCGACGAGTTTAATTTATTTCTTCATCCTATTTTTTTTAATTTTTTATTAATTTTATTTTCTTCAACTATTTTAATTGTTTAATTCATTTAAATTCGTTTTTCGTCTTAAATTACATTATTATTATTATTGTTATTATTATTTTATTTTTATCTTATTTTATTTTATTTCATCATCACTATTATTAGTATTAATATTATTATTATTATTATTATTGTATTTTTACTTTATTTTATTTTATTTTATTTTATTACATCATCATTATTATTATTATTATTATTATATTTTATTTTCATTTTATTTCATTTTATTTTTGCCTTTAGGATGCATGCAGCTACAAACAAGAGAAAGAAGAACTTTTTGCTGCTTTCCGAATTTTCGACAGAGACAGCAGCGGCTACATTCCCATAGACTTGCTGCGCCAGCTGCTGCAGCAGTCTCAGCAGCAGCAGCAGCAGCAGCAGCAACAACAACAACAACAACAACAGCAGCAGCAACAGCAACAGCAGCAGCAGCAGCAGCAGCAGGGTGGTTTGAGTTTGGAAGAGATTAACAAGTTTATTTCACTTGCTGCATGCAGCGAATTGAATTCTTTTAATTACCGCCGCTTTGTAGAGCAAATTGCTTTTGGGCCGATTGTCTTTAAAGGAGATCCAAAGAAGAAAAAGAAAAAGAAAACAAATAATAAATGAAATCAAATTAATTCAATAAGTCCACAAATTCGAATTTGCCCAATTCAGGAGAAGAGTGCTGCTGCAGCAGCAACACACGCGAGAGCTGCCGCAGAAGCAGCAATAGCAAGAGCAGCAGCAGCCACAGCAGAGGCAGCAGCAGCAGTAGCAGCACCGACAGCAGCAACAGCCGCCTCAGGTGCAGCAGCAGCAGCAGAACAAGCAGCAGCAGCCAATGCAGCAGCAGCAACAGCAGCGGCTGCTGCTGCCGCTCTTGTTTGGGTTCAGTTTGGCTTAAACTGACTGACTGCCTGTACACCCCGGGTGCATGCAGCCCCAAACAATTTTGATTTTCATTTTGCAAAATAAAAGAAGACAAAAACTCATTTGCTGCAGCTGCTGCAGCAAAGCTCACTGCAACGCAGCAGCAAATAAGGAAATAAGAAAAATAAGAAAATACAATTTTAATTATAAATTTGAAATTAAAAAATTCAAAGTTTCAATATATGTGGCTGCTGCCTGAGCAGCAGCAGCAGCAGCAGCAGCAGTGGTGTCGCCTGAACACTGTGTTTGGATATTCAAGTTTGGATTTAAATTAAAACATTTGAATTATAAATTAAATGAAAAGTTTAGAAGAATATAAATGAAATAAAAATGCAAATAAAGGAATGGACAGGGAGATATTTCAAGATCCTCATGCATGCCTTTTGAGGCCTCTGGAGAGTGAGCGCAAATGCTCGATCTGTGGGCAAATATACATTAAAATTGAAGTTTAATGAGTTTTAAATAATAAAGCATTTAATTATTTTAATTTATTTATTTATTTAAACATTTCCCCCCTCAACAGCGGCGAAACTGCTGCGGTGTACGTACACCATTGGTTCCAGCGCTTCCTTTAACCGCCAACAGAAGATGTTCAAAAATGGCCTTTCTGGCGTTCATTTTTGTTTATTTCCTTTTCTTTTCGTCTTTATTTAATGCTTTTTGATTTATATTACTTCAGTTTGGCGGGATTTGCACTTGGTGCTGAAAAGCAGCAGCAGCTGCTGCTGCTGCTGCTGCTGCTGCTGCTGCGGGGCCAGCTAGTACTACCGCACACGAGCAGCGGGGCGTTTTCCCTGGCAAAAGTCTGCATTTTTTCTTATTTTTTACTGAATTAAAGAATTAAATATCAAAAGATTTGCAAAATAAGTCCTTTATGGGGCCAAGTCCTCGGAGCAGCAGAAACGAAGAGGCGTTGCTGGTGCTGCTGCTGCTGCTGTCACGCGAGCCGCAGCAGTCCGCCGTGCTGCAGCACTTCCACTTGCACTTAAGAGTTTAAAAGGGGGAATTTGAATTTAAAAAGAATTTTTAATTTCAATTTTCTTTTTCTTTTTCTTTTCCTCCAATCATGTTCGGGCCAGTCGAGCTCTTCTTCCTCTGCGGTTCAGTTAGCATGGCCTGCTACTTGCTGGTGATCTCCACTGTGGTTTGTCTCAGAGAATAAGCAGCAGCAGCAGCAGCAGCAGCAGCAGCGGCGGCAGCGGCAGCGGGGTGGCGGCTGGGTCACGGGAGGGAGCAGCAGCAGCAGCAGCAGCAGCAGCAGCGTCGGCGCCAAAGGCCGCAACGGGAACGGCAGCAGCAACACAACGACAACAGCAGCAGCAACCACAGCAGCAGCAGCAGCAGCAGCAGCAAAGATGGGTTTCTTTAACAAGTTGATTGTTGGCCTCTGCATCATTGGGATGCTTTCGACGGGATATATGATGGTGGCATTTGCTGTTCTTTTGTGAAGCAAATAAAACAAATTAAAATAATTAAAAGGAATTAAATTAAAATTAATAAATCCAAATTAAATAATTAAACAAATGACAAAAATTAAATAAATATTCGCCCTCAAGGGGCTGCTGCAGCAGCAGCAGCAAACGCCCCGCCGCACCTGTTCTGCTGCTGCAGCAAGGGAGACGCCAGCAGCAGCAGCGGCACTTGCAGCAGCAGCAGCAGCAGCAGCAGCAGCAGCTCTTAGCTGCAGCTTTTCTTTCTTGGTCTTCAAACTGAAACCTAAGGGACAAAGAAATCCAGAAAAGCAGAAGCAGCAGCAGCAGCAGCAGCAAAATGAAGTAAATCATTTTCTTTTCTTTTAGAAAGGCGTCAGCAACTCTGTCTCAACCCCTAAACCGTAAACCCTAAACCCTAAACCCTAAACCCTAGGCCTGCAGTTGGGGGCCCGTGAGGCTTTCCTTCTGCGTTTTGTTTCTTCTTGATGAACTGTCTGCTGCGTAAAAGCAGCAAATATTTATTTAAAATAAAATAAAAAGAAAAAATTATATTTTTAGATTAATATAGAAAGTTGCTTCCGCGTAGATTCTGAGGAAGTGCTGGCAGCAAGCTGTGTCTTTTCTTGCTGCTGCAGAAGCAGCAGCAACAGCAGCAGCAGCAGCGTTTGGAAGAGCAGCAACAGCAGCAGCAGCAGCAACAGCAACAGTCAGGGCCAGTGTACGAGGCAACCAAGGCGGCTATCGATAGAGTCGCCTGTTTCTTGGTTTGAGGCCACACTTCATTCCGTGCTGCTTTAGCTGCTGTTGCTGCAGCAGCAGCAGCAGCAGCTGCTGCTGCTGCTGCTTCTGCTGTAGCAGCAGCTGCTGCTGCTGCTTCCGCTGCTGCTGCTGCTGCTGTGGCTACGCGGTTGCCCGTCGCACAGGGAGTGTGCGTCTCGGTCTGGCGCTCAGAAAGAAATGAAAAGTGGCGAAATAAAACAAAAATGGAAATAAAAAGTAAAAATAAATAAAAATAAATAAAGAAACAAAAAGAACTAAAAAAGCGAACAAGTCCGCAGCAAAATCGTTTTTGGAAACTGCGGAAGAGGCGGCAGCGGTCTGGCTGCAGCAGGTGACCCCCCTGACCACCGGCTAATTCGGGGGCTTTGGAGTCGATTTTGGAGTTTAAAACCACAAAATTAATTAAATTTAACATTTCGAAACAAAGTTTTTGTCTTTTTTGGCCCTTTAACTCCAAAAAAAGCTCCATTTGAGCCTCTCGGCCGCCTGCGAGCCGCCCGGGAGCGCCTACGCTGAGGGGTGGTGCTGCTGTTGCTGCTGCTGCTGCAGCAGCAGAACAAATTCGCGTTTTATTCACACTAAAATTAGAATTTAAATATTATTTAATTTATTTAATTCATTTTTTCCTTTTATTTCCTGTATTTCTTCCCTTTAAACCCTTCAAACTCGCTGAGGCCCCTCCGGGACTGCTGGTGCTACCCTGCTGCATTCTGCTCCCTCTTTTCTTGCACAATTATATCTGCTGCTGCTGCTGCTGCTGCTATAGCCGTTACTGCTGTTGTTGCTGCAGCGGCTACGGCTGTTGCTGCAGCTGTCGCTGCTGCTGCTGCTCCTGCTACTGCTGCAGCAGCGACTTTGGTTGACTTTGTCGTCGCTGGCACTTAACTCTTGCTGCTGCTGCTGCCGCTGCTGCTGCTGCTGCTGCTGCAGCATGGGGCCCCTCACTCCCCCGTGGCTGCAGCAAAGCTTGTCTTTGGGTCTAGCTGCTTCCCAAGGAGACACAGAGACCCAAAAGGAAACTTTAAATGTTCCTTTTTTCCTTTCTGTTGCTTCTGATGAGCAGCTAGTTGAGCTGCTCAGCTGGGGGCACCCTGCTGCTGCTGCTGATGCTGCTGCTGCTGATGCTGCTGCTGCTGCTGATGCTGCAGCCTCTGCAGCACTACTGGCGCCCCCCTGGGGCACATCAAAAGCCCCCCAGGTGTACAGACAGCTATTAGCGGGTGACCCGCAGCAGCTTGCTGCAGCAGATGCATGCGGAATGTCCCCCAAAGAGCAGCAACAGCAGCAGCAGCAGGAGCAGCAGCAAGTTCCTGCTGCTGCTGCGGCTGCTGCTTCTGTGGTTTCGAGCAGGGGACAGCAGCAGTGGGGATCTCCACTGCTGCTGCCACGCACAAGGAGCCCTGTCCCCCGCAACAGCAGCAGCAGCAACAGCAGCAGCAGCAAAAGCAGCAGCAGCATCAGCAGCAGCAGCGGCAGCACACCAGCAGCAGCAGCAGCAGCATTAGCTGCTGATGCTGCTGCTACTCCAAAGAGCAAAACTCAAAATGAAATCAACAAGTCTCCTGCCACTTGCATGGCTTTTGCTTTTTTGCAGGGGGCCCCTGGGGGGCCCCCTGGGGGCCCCCCGGGGGCCCCCAAGGGACCCCCAGAGGCCCCAAGGGGGCCCCCCAGGGGACCCCCCAGTACCCTAAAAGAGACTCTCAGGGGGCCCCCTGAGGCCCCACAGGGGCCCCTAAATGGGTCTTCTAAAGGGCCTCAAAAGGCAGCTGTTAGGGGGCCCCGTGAAGTGCTTAGGGGGCCCCCAAAGGGGCCCCCAAAGGGGGCCCCTAGGGGGCCCCCCGATACCCTAAAGGGCCCCTCTAGGGGGCCCCCTGGGGCCCCCAGGGGGGCCCCCAGAAAGTCCCCACCTTCTGCCGCCTTGCCTTCTGCAGCGCTGCAGCAAGCCGCTTCTAAATCTTGTGAGGGGGCTCAAGCAGCAGCAGCAACATTGCAGCAGCAGCAGCAGCAGCAGCAGCAGCGGCAGGAGTGTAAGGAGGCCACAGCGGCAGCAGCAGCAGCAGATGGTAGCCGCAGAAGCAGCAGCTCTTCCCCTGAAGCAGCAAAAGCTTCACTGTTGCGGGCAAGCCAAACACCTGAAGCCGCAGCAGCAACATGCAGCAGCAGCAGCAGCAGCAACAGCAACAGCAGCAGCAGCAGCAGCAAGGATCAGGGGGCCCCACATCCCCCAGCAGCAGCAGCAGCATCAAGCGAGGCTAAGGGGGCCCCCCGGGGGGCCCCGGAATATGTGGAGACGGAAGAGCTGATAGATCCTTCAGCTGCTGCTGCTGCTGCTGCTGCTGCAGTTGCACATATATCCTTCAGTGAAAAAGATGGTAACACGGATTAGCTGCTGCTGCTGTTGCTGCTGCCGTTACTGCTGCTGCTATAGCTGATGCTGCTGCTGCTGCTGGCATTGCTGCTTATAGTTGCGAAGCAGCAAAGTAAAGTCAACTGGAGCATGAGCTGCAGCAGCAGCAGCTGCTGCGCAGCTGCTGCCGAAGCAAAGACTGCTACACTTCTTATTGCTGCAGCCGGCCATGCGGCCGTCGCTGCTGCTCGCTCCGCTGCTGCCGCTGCTGCTGCTGCTGCCGCGGCTGCTGCGCCGGTTTCTGCTGCTGCTGCTCGCTGTGCTGCTGCTGCTTTTGCTGCTGCTGCTGCTGCTGCTGCTGCTGCTGCTGGAGTCTATTCGTGCTCGGGTTAAATTTCTTTTTTCTTCAGAACAGAAGCACAAAAAGGAAAAAAAAGAAAAACAAAAAGAAGAAAAAAGCCTTTTGGGGGCCCTTTTGTCTCCTCAAGGCAGCAGGGGGCCCCACAGGGGCCTCAGGGGCCCCCTGGAGCTGCTGCAGCAGCAGCAGCAACTGCAGCAGCTGCTGCTGCTGCTGAAGTCAACCTCCCGTGCGCAGAAAAAGCAGCAGCAGCAGCATCAACAGCAACAGAAGCAGCAGCAGCAGGTGCCGGGGCCGGGAACCACTAGGAGCAGCAGCAGCAGCAGCAGCAGCAGCAGCAGCAGCAGCAGCAGCAGAATGACGCCCTCAACTGCAGCATCAACAGCCCCAGCGGAGGCAGCAGAAGCAGCATCAGCAGCAGCATCAGCAGCAGCAGCAGCAGCAAATCAAACAGGCAACCCTCACCGGCCGCAGCCCACCAGTGGGGGTCCCGTGTCTCTTACAAAGTATGAAGCAGCAGCAGCAGCAGCAGCAGCACAGAAGGCCCCTCCACGTTTGGCCTTAAGAGACCTTGAGCCTGCTGCTGCTGCTGCTGCTGCTGCTGCTGCAACAGCGGCACGCGGAGGCACAGGAGCAGCAGGCGATACGCGTAGGGTTGCTTCTGCTACCGCTGCCGCTGCTGCAGCTGCAGCTGCTGCAGCTGCTGCTGCTCCTGCTGCTGAGCTGATAGTACGCTGCAGCCCGCTGCAGCAGCAAAGCTGTTTCATAACAGCACCTCCTGAAGAAGAAAAACAAAAAAAAAGAAAAGAGAAAAAAGAAAGAAAAGAAAAAGAAAAAGAAGCACCATGGAAGGATTATCTGAGCCCTTTTGCTGCTGCTGCTGAGCAGCTGCAGGGCCTGTGCAGCCCCTGCTGCTGCTGCAGCAGCAGCAGCAGCAGCAGCAGCAGCAGCAGGCGTCGCTGCAGCAGCAGCAGCAGCAGGCAACTGCAGCAACGTTGGCTCCCCTTGAGCCTTGAGGGGCCCCCAGGGACCCAGCAGCGACTAGACAGAAGCAGCAAAAGAAAAAAACAAAGAAAAAAATATTTAAAAGTAGATGCATGCAGATGTCCCGCCGCTACTTACAGCAGCAGCAGCAGCAGCAGCTGCAACAGCTGCCGCTGCTGCTGCAGCAAGCAGTCGCTCGGAGCGGCCACAGCTGCTGCAGCAACCAGGTGCATCTCCTGCTACAAAATAAAACAGCAGCAGCAGCAGCAGCAGCAGCAGCAGCTATTGGATATACCACGAGCTGCAGCAAGTGCATGCAATTCAGGTAAACCCCCAGACCCCCAAAATGAGGGGCCCCCATGGGGGGCCCCCCTCTTTCTGCCTCCAGTAAGTCCTTTGGGGGGCCCCCTGGGGGGCCCCCCTGGGGGCCCCCTAGGGGGCCCCTCAAGTTCAGACTTAGGGGCCCCCCTGAGGGCCTCCAGACCCTTTTATTTGGGGGGCTCCCCTGGGGGGCCCCCCAGGGGCCCCCTGCACTCAGAGGGCCCCTGCTGGGGGCCCCACATAGGTTCGCCTCATTCTGAAGGGGGCCCTGGGGGGGCCCCCTGGGGGCCCTGGGGGCATCCCCAGGGGGCCCCTGGGGGGGCCCCCTGGGGGCCCCTGCGGGGGTCAAAGAGCAGCAGCAGCAGCTGCTGCTGCTGCTCTTTGACTTATATTGAAAAGGAAAAGCAAGAAACAAATTTAGTGTAGGTCTTTGGGTCTATCAAACCCTAAACCCTAAACCCTAAACCCCAACTGTTCAGTAGCTGCTGCTACTGCTGCTGCTGCTGCTGCTTGTTTGATTAAATTTTGAATTTTGGAATTTTCGTTTTCTGTCTTGCAGTGACGAGGTGTACAAACACTCCACTGCCGCGCGCTGCACCTGCTCTGCTGCTGCTGCTGCTGCTGCAGCAAAACGCAAAAGCCATCGCGCCAATGCTGCTGCTGCTGCTGCTGCTGCTGCTGTTGCTGCTGCTGAGTCCCCTAGGGCGACACCAGGGTCCCAAGAGCAAGTATATATAAATTCTGTCTTCAAAAATAAATAGATAGATAAATAAATAAATAAATAAATAAATGCAATTAAAGTTTATTTATTTATTCATTTATTTATTTATTTATTTATTTTCTGTTTTTTTTCAGAATGAACTCTTCTTGAGACGCATTTGCCTCCTCCTCAAAGACAGCCCCAGCCGGGGGGCCCCCCACAGCCCGGGGGCCCCTGGGGGGCCCCCCGGGGGGCCCCCTGGGAGGCCCCCTGGGGGCCCCCCGCGGGTCCTCGGGGGCCCCAAAGGGGTATTTGGGGGCCTCCCGGAAGTCCCCAGGAGCCTCCAGGGGTCCCCTTGGGTCCATGGGGGCCCCCAAGAGGCCTCTGGGGGCCCCCAAGGGGCCCCCAAAGACCACCAGGAAATCTCATGGGGCCCCCAGGGGGCCTTTTGGGTCCATGGGGGCCCCCAGGGGGGCCCCAGGGGCCCCCAAGAGGGCCATGGGGGCCCCAGCAGCTTCAAGGGCTTTCGGGGGCCCCCCAGGGGCCCCTCAAGTACCCTAAAAATGCGGTACGGGGGGCCCTCTAGGGG